AAATTGTAGATCTTTTCGTAGTTTTGACTTCATGTGCAATGAAAATATATTTTTTTACAACAAATCTAATATTCAATTTAGGTTTGGAATACAGTTTCCTATGATAAAATGAAATATCCAAATCACGAATTTGAGATTAATTTTCTACAACAAAACAGAATTGGTTGGTTTGTTACACATAGAGGGCAGAAAATGCAACAGATTCCATACAAAATAATAATAATAAGGGGAAAATGTGTCTAGGCCTCAAAAGCGAAAACTCCATGTGACCCAGCCCATTGTATTTTGGTCCATGTGATTCAGCCCCAAAAAGTAGCATTTAATGTTTCAAGGCCCCTCCACGTCAGCAGTACAAAAAAAGAGATTGTATTTTAGAAAAAACCCAAAATTGCCCCTCCACTTATCTTCCCCAGACGCCTCTGGTTCCAAAAAACATGGAAAGTCACGTCCCATTAATGCGATCTGACGGAAAAAATGGAGGAAAATTTCCCGCCATTTTTTAAACTCTATCATGAGCAATAACTCATGTTAGTTCTAACTTATTTCATGTTAGTTCTAACTTATTTCATGTTAGTTCTAATTTATTTCAGAGCTAACTTTAAGTGGAACTAACATTAATACTTTGGCTACTTGGTCTAGTGGTAAAGTTTACAAAGTTGTAGAGGAGGTCAGGAGTTCAAACCCCTGTAACTACAATATATATTTAAAGGTTTTTGATTGGGGATTGGGCCTTGGGCCTTGGAACTCTTGGGCAGATTGTTAGTTCTAACTCATTTTATGTTGGTTCTAACATACTTCATATTAGTTCTAATTCTAATTCATGTTAGGTTTAACTTAACTCACTAGAACTAACACTTATATTTGAAATAACACTAGCTGGAAGTAGAACTAATATGAACTCAGCTAGAACTAACATGAGAACTGTTAGAACTAATAGGAGCTCAACTAGAACTAACATACCATTAAAACTAACGTTTATGTTAGAAATAACACTAGCTGCAATTTATAACTAATACGACATCAGCTAGAACTAACACGAGAACCATTAAAACTAACAGGGGCTCAACTAGAACTAACAGACCACTAGAACTAACGTTTATATTAAAAATAACACTAGCTGGAAGTTAGAACTAACATGACATCAGCTAGAACTAATAGGGGCTCAACTAGGATTAGTATACCACTAGAACTAACGCTTATTTTAGAAATAACACTAACTAGAAGTAGAACTAACATGAAATCAGTTAGAACTAACACGAGAATCACTAGAACTAACAACGGGTCAACTAGAACTAACATATCACCAGAAATAATACTAGTTGGAAGTAGAACTAACATGACATCAGCTAGAACTAACATGAGAATCGCTAGAACTAACAGGGGCTCAACTAGAAGTAACACACCACTAGAACTAACGCTTATATTAGAAATAACATTAGCTGGAAGTTAGAACTAACATGACATCAACTAGAACTAACACGAGAGCCCCTAGAACTAACAGGGGCTCAACTAGCACTAACATACCACTAGATCTAACGCTTATATTAGAAATAACACTAGCTGAAAGTACAACTAACATGAAATCAGCTAGAACTAACACGAGAACCGCTAGAACTAACATGGGCTCAACTAGAACAAACATACCACTAGAACTAACGCTTATATTAGAAATAACACTAGCTGGAAGTTAGAACTAACATGACATCAGCTAGAACTAACACGAAAGCCCCTAGAACTAACATACCACTAGATCTAATGCTTATATTAGAAATAACACTAGCTGGAAGTAGAACTAACATAAAATCAGCTAGAACTAACACGAGAACCGTTAGAACTAACATGGGATCAACTAGAACTAACATACCACTAGAACTAACGTCTATATTAAAAATAACACTAGCTGGAAGTAGAAATAACATGAAATCAGATATAACTAACACGAGAACTGCTAAAACTAACATGGGCTCAACTAGAGCTAACATATCACTAGAACTAACGCTTATATTAGAAATAACACTAGCTGGAAGTAGAACTAACATGAAACCAACTAGAACTAACACGAGAACCGCTAGAACTAACATGGACTCAACTAGAACTATCGCTTATATTAGAATTGACATTAGCTGGAAGTAGAACTAACACACATAATTCTTTTCTATTATTGTTTGATATTGTTGTCTTGCGATCTTAGTCCCAGTCGGCGCTTCGACCACGTCCATAACAAAATAAAGAAAGATCTGATAATAAAATAGCAATAACAACGATAAAAGAGGAGAGCAATTCACCTCACTTTTCATTTATAATTTTCGGAAACAATTACAAATAAAATGTTTTAAAAAAAATTCATGACGAAACAATTAATAAAAATTCAAGGTAACAAATTAAAACTCAACGTGCTTGATGCACGATGGGTCCAAGCCAATCGAGCTTTTAATTAACAACCTAGCTATCAATTTGATTAAACTAACTAGCTCTTGAGTAAGCCGTCGATAAACTTGGCCCCGGCGTCCCTCAGCCAGGTGATGTCCCCCAGCCAGTTTTCTATCAAGAAGAGGGACGCCTCCTTGTTGATGGGCTCGTGCTTTTTGACCCACTCGGTCCTGGGCCTGGGGTCGCCGTTGGGCCCCCTGTTGTTGTACTCAGTGTAGTAGCAGGTCTGGTGGAAGTCGGCCCCGTCCCAGATGGCCCAGCCCTCGGGCTTGATCACGTCCCTGATCTCCGACTCCATGACCACCGTCCTGGCCTTCGCCTTCCACGGCCTCCCCAGAGCCTGATCATTTTCAGTGGCCATGGCGGAAGTGAGAGAGAATGAGAAGTTGAGAGATAGAGGGGTGAGAGAGAGAGAGAGAGAGACATGAATAATGATGAAGAAATTGGGAATAAATAGGGAGGAGAAGTAACTGAGTTCAGTCCCATCAAATGGGCAAGTTCGTAACTTTCATTTGGTTTTTTTTGAAATCCGATACTTTGAGGCCTTGCCACAAATTCTGTGTATTTGAGGCTTATCAACATGGGATAGAATACAAAGAGTCTCGTCACATGAAGTTTCTAATTTTGGGGTCTCAACACAATTTTCCTTAATAATAATAATAATAATAATAATAATAATAATAATAATAATAATAATAATAATAATAATAATAATAATAATAATAATAATAATAATAATAATAATAATAATAATAATAA